GGAAACATGGATAAGAATATAGTCTTGTCACTTTAGAGTGACACATCCAGCTGATATGAAGTGAGGGGAGATGCACAAGAACTGCCAAACACTGAGATAGTTCCCATTTTGACCTATTATCGAAGACTTGATAATCAGAACTCAACTAGAGGAAGATTAAAAAAATCAATTTTTGATAAAGGAAATAAGTGTAAATTGCTACAAATTGATGAACTTGACCTATACTTATGAATGTAGTAGCTCAAAATACCAACTGAGAGGGAAAGAGTCTTCACATTAAGTATTGACCCTATCCCGTCTGTATACAGGGTAGATAGTGACGGACAACTTACATGTTGGCTACCTAGAATGAGGGGGAGATAAAGGCATGAAATAACTGGCTTACAAGTTTTGAAGAGGGAGCTTAGTTTAAGAGTGTGCGGAGGAAGATAGAGTCCCCACACTGAATAGTTTTCATCTTGTCTAGACAGGTCTGGTGAAAGGAGATGGGGATAAGATTCTTATGATTCCATAGTGAGTAATAGTTACCATGACTAATTGCAACTGTCACAACTGTAAAGGTAGAAGTTTTGTAACAAAAATGGGGGAGTAGTTAATTTTACAATCCAGGAACAGAGGACCCTAGGATCATCAACAGAGAAGAGCATGAGTGGAATGTGGGACCTTAGCCAGAGAAGCAGTGACACCAGAGATGGAGGCAGAGATAAGGACATGGAGAGAGGGAGTAGCTGAGGACTCTAGACTCATGGAAAGAGAAAGATTGAGTGCTGGTGGCCTGGAGGCAGGTTTGCAGAATGTGACCTTTGGTTGTTTAAATTTTTATTATATATTCCTGAATGTTTCTTTTAACATCCCCCTACAAAAACAAACAAACAGACAAATAGAGGGAATAGAAGCAAATACTGTTGAATGATAATGCACAGAGGAGATTGTAATCGTTATAATGAAATGATGGTGTAAGACTATCAATCAATTCACAATAAAAACATTTTATGTTTTTTTAAACAAAAAAAGAGACTATATTCTTGCCAACCACTCAGTTGAGAACAGAAACAATTGCTCCCAGTTGCAAGAATGAAGAAGAAGGTCCAACAGGTGAGGAAGTGAAGGGCTAGAGAGAAAAGGTGAGGTCTCAGAAACCCAGATACAGTTTACTTAGCTCAGGATCTCTGGAGGTTGTGCACAGAGCAAGCAATAGAGCCAAAGTCTGGTCCCCACTGGGCTCACAAAGATACTCTACAGACTGGGGCAGTTTATTTCCCCTCTGTGCTTCAGTGTCGTCAAAGGCAAAGGAAAAAAGAAAAGAAAAAGCAACAATGAGCTGTCCTGTCAGGTCTCTGCCGACCAGGAGAATGCACTCCTTCGAATTCCTGGTCAGTGTGGATGGGGAAATTCACTTCTTTTTCCAAGCTCCCACTCCTTGTGCCCCTTGGGGATTTTAAACCACACAGAAGGTGCTCTCAGGGAACTGGGGCTTTCTAGGTTGCCTTTGTTTATAGTTCCTTTAAAACCCAGAGACAAACTACCCCTTAATTCATACACTGCTGGGAAGGTGAATCTGTCTTTTAAAAATCCAAAGGAAGCCATTAAACCATGTTGGTAACTATTGTGACTCATAATAAGCTTTCCTCTGTAAAAAAAAAAAAAAAAATGAGTCAGAACGACTTTCCAGGAAGTTTGGTTACTTTAATTAGCTACCTTTTTTTTTTTTTTTTTAAACTTGCCCTTAAAAGCTATACAGTAATTTATAAGTTTGGTTACTTTAATTAGCTACCTCTCTTTTCTTGCCCTTAAAAGCACACATCATCTAGTATTGATGCTACAAGACAGCCCTGAAGTGAAAGACCTAGGGGTGGATAAGTTTCACACAGCACAAACCTCACTGTCTCCTTGGAGTCTAGGAGGAATCGTTTCCTGAATGGAGAAAGAACCAACCTTCAGGATAGCTTTGTGGGCCTAAGGAGAAGGACACTGTGGCCCCAGAGTGTCCAGCAGTGATGCACACTCTCTGTATTACAGAATCACAGAATCCTAACGATGCAGGGAGTCCTGGTGTGGCACTGTGGGTTAATGCACTGCACAACAAAGTCGGTTTGAACCACAGGCTCACCAGCTATTCCTTGGAAACCCTATACAGGGTCACTATGGGTTGGAACCAACTTGATGGCACTTAACAACAACAACAAGGCAGTTGAAGTCCCTGGGTGAAAACAGTCAATGTGCTCAACTACTAACAAAAACGCTGGTGGTTCCATTCTTTTCCAGAGGTGCCTCAGAAGAAAATTCAGCCTTGAAAACCCTATGGAGCATATTTTACACTGAAACTCATGGGGTTGCCATTAGTCTCATGAGTCGGTGTTGACCTGACAGCAATTGATAATGGAGGCATTAGAGGCAATGATCATCACAGCTGCCAGGAGTCCAGCACTCTGCTAAGCACTTACCATCTCACATCATTCTCAGCCCCACTTTAGAGCATGACCATTACTTTGCCCTTTACAGAAGAGATGAGGCTTAGGAGAGAAATCATCAGGTCATACAAATCTAAGTATGGATCTGTGATTCTTAACCCTTACTCTTCAAACACCATCTGCTCATGCCCTTTATTTTATGAGGAAATTGGGGTCCTAGGAAGATCAAATGGCTTATCTACAGTCACACACTGAATTGGTAGTAGCCTCAGGCAGTCCCAGTCTACTTTGGGATTCTTTTTCCCCTCACCTTGACACATACTCCCACATTTCCCAGATTGTTGGGGTTGTTAAGTCGGTTTCAACTCAGAGTGACCCATAAAGAATTTCTGAGGAGCAGCTGGTAGGTTTGAACCGCTGACCTTGGGGTTCTCAAATTGTTGTTGTTGTACCGTAGAGTTGGTTCTGACTCATAGTGACCCTGCACAGGGTTTCCGAGGCTATAAATCTTTACAGGAGCAGAATGCCTCATCTTTCTCCCACGGAACCGCTGGTAGTTTCAAACTGCTGACCATGAGGGTGGTAGCCCGACTTGTAACCACTACACTACCAGAGCTCCTTGGGCTTCTCAGATAGGAGGTGAGATTTGCTCAGATTGTCTATAACACAGATTGTCTATTAACTTCCTTTACTCCTACCCAGGATTGGAACTCCCTCCCTTCCTGGCCCACCTTTCAGAATTTTACATGGCTTCTTCTCATGCCCAATGCCCCCAGCCTGTTTTGGTCACTGGATCTTGTAACAGAGCCCCAGTCTCAGCTTTCAGCAGTGTCCTCACACCAGAGGCCACAGGGCCCAGGTGAGCAGAGCTGGCCCCTGGCTTCTGGTTTCTTCCAGGGAAGAATACAGGGATGCTAACCTGCCCACCTCTCTCCAGCTGAGTGGATTTTAAAGCCTCGCTGAAGCTCTTGAGGTTAAAGAAATTTTTCTTCTCTATACCCCTAGAGAAACATACCCAGCTAATAAATCAATTGAAAAATGAGACCAGCTGGCCTATACCCTCCTTACTACAGCTGTTCCTAGACACAAAGCAAAATACACCCAACTCCTCACTTATCGACATGGTTAGATTTCAAAGACCAGGTTGTTATATAAAAATCAATGTTTTGTGAAAATGAAGGAGGACCAGTCATTACATAAATCCCAAAGCACTGAGAACCATGACCTAGCCAATTGGCACATAACCTTTACCATCACAGCAGCGTTACTCCTGCCTAACACTTCAGGGTTCCTAACCACGCTGCACGTACATCATTAAAGCACAAAACAGTTGGACAGTAGATTTTGACTATTGACATAAATGTGAAAATTGGATAACCAGACGGTCAGTAAGTGAGGAGTGAGTGGGTAGATGTAAAGATGAGCTCTATCAGTATTGCTAGTGAAGCAAATGGACACTGTTTCAATATTAACTAGTGGAGCTGAAAAGGTTTGGGTAAATGTATCTCACAGGTGCCCCCGAAGCCCCCCCCTCCCATTATCATGTCCCTGATTCCAAGTCTTTTTAGTTCCCAGAAGGGAACTGGATTGCTCCTGAAGACTTGGGAAAAGATTTTTAGCTCTGGGGGCCATCGATTCTCTTCCACTTCTAATTTCTATGTCTCTAATGATCCAGATGAAAGACTAATTGAGGTCTTGTTGGAATGCTATTAAAGTTATTTGGTGGTGTTACAATTTATACTCATCTTTCTTTAAGTTCTTTTTAATTATATGGAGCTTTCAAAGCAAGGCTTGGACGATGGAGTTAAAAATAGAGGTTAAGAAACTTACTTCCCCCCATTCTGGTCTGTCCCTTTCTCTTTTTCACAGAGTAAGCCATCTCTAGGCACCAAGTCTTTCCCTTGGAGCCTATCTGCCACCCACATATGCAATTTAGTAGGAAAAATTTGCACCTGTGCCTTTTAGTCACTCCCTTGAGTACAACTGCCCCCATCCATTAAAGACAGAGTGTGCCTTCTGTTACTCTGTGAAAAAGCAAACAAACAAAAACAGTTGCTGACACATAGATTCATGGAGACTTCATGCGTGTCTCAGTAGAACTGTGCTCCATGGGATTTTCAAGGGCTGATTTTACAGATGTAGATGGCCAAGGCTTTCTTCAAAAGTATGTCTGGGTAGACTCAAACTGCCAGCTTCCTTATAGCAGCTGAGCACATTCATGGTTTGTACTACAGGAGAAGGGGCTCTATGTCAGTGAGAAAAGACTGGGAACTCAGTCCAATTCTAGGGGGTTCCACTGGTAGATACATCAAGAAGTGAGTCTCCTCCCTAATTTTTGTGTTTTTGCTTTGTCTTTTAAGGATCTGGTTTCTCTATAACCTTGTTTCAGGGTTTTTAATTCCACTGTCAACCAATATAGACTTCAAAGGCTCAAAGGTGTAGGGGCCATTTACTCACAAGTCTCAGGAATTCCTCATTTCCTAAGATCCAGCTTTTTAATCTGATTGGCTGGACAATCAAGGAAGAAGAGATACCACCACATCTTTCCAACAGCTCTCTACCACCCTCTGCTTTCTTGTTCCCCCTTACCTGTCTCCACCTGGCCAAGGGCAGTGCGAGCATCCGTGGAATCGGCGACATCTCCACTCATCTTGATATCTGCAGGGAAATCACAACTGATTTTAATAACAGGTCACAATTTTTCTTGCCATGACATATGTGGCTTTAACTAAACAGCAAAGATGAATGTGTAATTACAACAACCATCAGACTTTCAAATGCCTGATTCCCGAACAAACCACCATTAGAATATTCATAAGACTGGGGGCATGGATCCCCTCCTCTTGTGCTTGCCTCCTCTCCCTCTGCCTCTCTTTCCCCCTTTCTCAAGTGCCACTGCAGGGCCTCTCACCTTTTGCATCATTCATTGCCACCTCTTCCCATCACTGGGGCTCAGTTGGTAACAATTTAACAAGAGGAGGGGTATGGCATTAGAAGGGGGAGAGAGCTCTTCCCATCCCTAATTTTAATTTTCTTTGGGATTTGGGGGGTTGTTTTTTTAAAAGTAGCACACAGAATGTTACTTTAAATACCCCTTTCACTCCATCTAAGCCTCCCCTTTAATTGGGTCTAGCTGGCTCACCCCCTCACCCCCACCCCATTCCGGTCTCTGCTCTCTGTCTGGTTCTCAGAGGTCAGCTTAGGGAGCAAACCCTAGCTCTTAGGCTGTTGTCCTGGGAGATTCTGTCCTTGTGAACCTTACCTTCTCTCCTACTCCAACTTCCTCAGTGAGCAAAGGATGACAGGCATATCCCCACCCCAATCCGAACTCCTGAGAACCGAGCAGAAAGACATCAGGCCTCAGTCTCAGCTCCAGTACTGCGGGTCCAGTCTCTCCACCCTGCTTCATTTTAATAAATTAAACATTTACCCATAACAGGCAGCTGCCACCACCTATGAGGCCCCCAAGTCTCCTCCAAGGGTCAGCAGAAAGAAGGAAAGAGGCAACTTTGAATTAACTCACTCTCTTAGGGCTCCTGTCCTTATTAAACCACCCAAATACTGAATCCCCGTTCAAAACAGAAGAATATTTTATTCAAATTATGGTGACCCCCCCCCCCTCCAGGGGGCAGCATTTTAACTCTTTGAAAGCAGATAAAGTCTTGGTGAGCTGATTTGCATACCTGACTCCCCAGCCAATCCCAATAAAACAGGCAACCTTAATTTGCATCAGGTAATCAGGCAGTTGGCAGTCTGGATGCCCAAAGTCTAGAGATGATCAGGATGAGGGAGAAGGGTGGACCTTCACCCCAGGGAAAGTGAAGAGATAAACCTCTCTCTTTTTTTGAGGGTAATGATGTGTCTGACTTTGGCCTCTCTGGAGCATAGAGGTTGCAGTGAGGAGAGGTGCTACATTTACGATGGCTGTGCTAAAGTAACCAAAATCCTTCCTGCTGCCATTTTCAAGTTGTCTGCATAGTCTTACCAGAACGAGAATGCAGAATACCTATATGGGCCACCTGAACACATCTGCAAAGGGTTTCTGCCCCAGCCAGCTACCTTCTGCTCCCCGGGAGAAATCAACTTTACTTCATCCCACCCATAAAGAACTACCCTGGGAGCAAAACATTGCCTAACCTGAACCTGTTCAGCCCACACCTCACTACAGAGATTCTTCAGCAGGGCTTCAGTAGAGACTGCCAGGCAGGCATGGGAAGAAGCAGAAACCTCCCATCTGCTGGTTTTAACCAGCTTTAGTAACACCAGAATCAAGAGCATTAATTCTTGTGCCATCAGTAACATTTGAGCCTCCGTTTTCTCCAATAAGAAATTGGGATAATGATACTTAACTCCCAGAGTTACTGTGAAAATTAAATGAAATGCTCACTGAAAATTGCTTGGCACTATTCCTGGCACAAAATAAATACGGAATAAACTAAGCAGACACTTTGCCTTGGATGTTAGTCCCTTTCTCTTGCTTCTTTCTCAAGCCTCTTCTCTTAACCCTTTCCCTCATTCCAAGGAATAGCTTCCATTTTCTGTCTCAGCAGTAACCTGCATTTTACCTGGGAAGACATTAAACCAGTTGTCAGTGGAGTTGATTTCGATTCATGGCAACCACATACATGTCAGAGTAGAACTGTGGGTTGTCAATGGCTGAATTCTCCAGTAGACTGCCAGACCTTTCTTCCTAAAGCCTCTGGGTGGATACGAACTGCCAACCTTTTGGTCAGCATTTAAACACTTGCACCACCAAAGGACTCCAGGAAGCCACTAGAATTCTCCAAATTTTGACTGTTATAGAAAAAGTGTTCATGGGGACAAGGAGCTATAAAGCAGTAAATTTGGGGTGATGACCAGATTTATGGCATCAATTTATTTCAAACTCCTGACATTTTAAGAAGGGTAACTCTGTAGTTAAATTACTGTGTGCTTTTAACCCCAAATCTCTTCCAACACCCACTCCCTGCATCACCTTTAAATACACCCAAGAAACCATCTCATTCATCAGTTAAATTAGCATATAATTTTGTGTTAAGAATGTCTGAAAATAGCGATTGAAGGAGTGAAGGGCTCCACACCCTGCCCATGGCATACATTCATATGCTCTACTCATTAGAGAAAGGAGCTCGGGTAGCGTAGCGTAGTGGTTACGAATCGGGCTGCTAACCTCCGGGTCAGCAGTTTGAAACTACCAGTTGTTCTGTGGGTGGTAGATGAGGCTTTCTTCACCTATAAAGATTTACAGCCTCGGAAATCCTTTACAGGGTCGCTGTGGGTCAGAACCGACAACACGACATACAACCACCACCACCCATTAGAGAAGCAACATTAGACTGTCTTTGAGCCTCAATGGAGGGGCAAGGAAAGGCGATCTCTGAACCCTCTTCTAAGCCTTGTGTGATGCGAAGACACTAAGAACCTGTTCCTGCTGATGGGTGGGACAAGCTGTTGGGTCTCGGTCTAAAAATGGGTCAACACCGAAACTCCCTGAGACGCTGTAACCCTTCACCTGTCCGACAACACTTGCCAGGGGTGAGTGAGAGAGGTGTCGGGTGGGGCCAGGCTTCTGACTGTGTTCTTATCTCAGCCTGCGATTGAGAGGGCTCTGTGCCATCACTCCCTTCCCCGGGAGGCCCAGCTGCTCCAGGTAAGAGCTCAGATACTGCACTCAGACCCTCCTGGTCTCACCCAGCATTCTCATGCCCTTAAGCTGGGGCCTGGTATTGATTGTTGGCCTTGGCCTTGGCCTTGGCCTTCCTGGGCCTCAGCATGGCACAAGAGCATCAGCTCCTCAAACATTGGTGCACCAGGATGTGTGGTTGAGCTCACCAAGAGAAGTGAGTCCAAAGTACCCTGAATATTCTGGGTCCAGGCTATGCTGGAGTACTGGTGTGGTACTGCAGGAAAAAGTACTGGACTGCAAGGTTGGTTTGAACCGCAAGGACAGCGGTTCAAATTCACTAGCCATGTCTCTGAAACCATATATAGGGTCTCTATGGTCAGAACTGGAGTCCTGGTATGGTGCTGTGGGTTAATGCGCCAGACTGCAAAGCTATTTGAACTGCAAGGTCGGTGGTTCAAGCTCACCAGCTGCTCCTTAGAAACCTTATACAGAGTCGCTATGGGTCGGAACAAACTCAATGGCACTGTACACCACCAACAACATCATGAGTCACAACTGACTCAACGGCACTTAACAACAGGATTTGCTAGAAATGCAGACGACTTGTCCCTCTCTCTCCTAGTTTCTAATCTTCATCTAGGAAGGGGCTGGGGTTCCCTGCAGACACCACACTGGCTGCTGGAGGTACTTCTACCAGGTGGACTTCCAAGAACTCACCAGTCCCACTTCTGAGCTTGCCAAGACTCCAATACTCCCCGGAGGAGATGTCTCTGGTCTCTTTGAGAAAAACCCACTTCTTCTCATGCCCTCTTCTAACACAAATGGAAATCTCTGAGCTCTAAGTGGCACCCGTCAGTAGGATTGATTCCACCCCTCTTTTCCAACCCTAGGGAAGGTTGAGACCTGCTTACAAGGAGGAGGAGAGCAGAGAAAGAAGTGCCCTCGGGCCAACCAGATGTCCCCCTCCAGCACACTTACAACTGTTTTTCTCTGTCTCTTCTCTCCCTCCCTCTCTGGGTCTGTCTGTCTGACTCCTGTCTCCTCCTCTGCATTTTCTTGACCTGGGTGGGGGAGCCTCTCCTAGACGGGGGTGCCCCCATGTCTGATGATCTCATGCCTGCTCAGGTCTCTGGGCTCCCACATGAGAGATGCTCTATAAAGCACAAAATGCTGTGGCTCCGGGCGCCTGAATCATGGCTTGCACCCCAGTTATCAGAGCAAACACAATGGGACTGACTCAGGGCCCCAGAGCTGGTGAAACTGTCTGAATTGGGGACATGGGGCAGCCCTATGCCCTAGATTGTGTGTGCCTTCTCCTCCCTCCCTCATCCAAACTGTTCCAGTAAATCAATGGAGGAGCAGTCTCCAAGGACCTAGGACTGGGAACTCCCAAAGAAAGTGCTGTTTCAGAATAAACAGAATACAAGATTCCACCACAACCTCTCAGTATTGTTAAGTCTATTCGGATTCATGACAACCCCGCAGGATGGAGTGGAACTGCCCATAGCGTTTCCCAGGCTGTAATCTCTATGGAAGACTACTGCCACATTTCTCTCCCTTGGTATGGCTGGTGGGTTCCAGCCAATAGTTTGTTAGCAGTTACGTGCTTAATACTGCAAGAGCAGGGCTCCTTATACAGGGTTACTCTGAGGAAAACATGAGACTCAAAAGAGAACAAATTCCCACAAAGAGGAAAGAGGATCCTGGCTGAAAGACCTTGGAGAGATGCCCATATGGAGGCAGCCCAGAGAGGGACCCTCCCTCACTAACCTCACAGAATCACAGCAGGGCCCACCTGAAAGACCCTCTCAAGAAGAGCCTGAACTGAAAGAGCGAACCCAGTAAAGACTCCTGAAACAGAGACCCCTTCAGAGAGACTACAGAGATCGCCCCAGAGAGACCCCTTTGAGGTGCCACCTAAGAAGAAGCAGACATGGGGGGGGAGTCAAGACTGTGAAACCTCATAGGGAGATCCAGCCAGCATTATGCAGAGCCCTTGGAGGAGACAGACTAAGGAAGTGGGCTGGAAGGA